AAAAAAAAACCGAAAAAAAAATATACAAAAAAGGCGACAACAACTCAGCCTATGTTGCACCATGCCATCAACTCTCAAAAAAAAAAAAAAAGCAAAACAAACGGCCCACAGGACGCAATTTTCCACCCACACAAGAACAGGACTTCGTCCTTTTTCGTTCGTCCTCGTCGGCTTCGTCTTCATCGTCTTCTTCTTCTTCGTCTGCTTCTTCTTCCACATCTAGCTGCTGCCACATCTTCTTCTTGATATTTTTTGTGTCTGCTTCTTTTTTTGTTGGCCCTGCGTTGCCAAGGGTTTCCTTTGTTCCCCCAAAAGTCGCCCAGCCGCCCAGCCACCCAGCCACCCAGCCGCCCACCTTTTGCCCACGCCCACCCCCAACGGCACCCGCAAGCCATCGAGCCATCGAGCCATCACCAGACCATCCTACCACCATATCCACTCTAAGCCAAGTCTGTTGCACTCACAAAACGACGAGCGCGACCCCAAACAAGAACAAAAACAAAAACAGCAACAGCAACAGAAGCAGAAACAGAAACAGAAACAGAAACAGAAGCAACAAGAACGACACGGGGCGAAAGGCTTTCACCAGGACATCGAAGTTTCAAATACCCTGGTATGGAAAGTGCGCCATAAATCCCAATAGATACCGCATTTGTTTTTTTTAAATCTCAATAAATTGAATATCTCCCAAATTACTGAGTCTACAACTATGAGTCTATAACTATGCTGCATTTATAGTTATACACTTTTCAACACATTTTGATAACTTCGGCTAATAACTTTACTGTTTTATCGAAGAAAGTATACCCAAATCCAAAGAATTGAGCCTAATAATATATTTTCAACTCATCTTTAGGGCATGTTTAGAGATCTTTTCAATAATTTACTCTAAATATGCGCTTGAAAATTTATTTAGAAACATCGAAATTTCAAATGTCCTTTAAAAAATATACATAATAAGTAAAAAAATGATAGAACTTATTTGTTGCATACGTTTTTTTTTAAAGTCTTCTGCAGAAAATTAAAGTTTCAAAGAAGTTATAATATTATGTTCCAAATTTCAAACCACACAAAACAATTACAGAAAACAAATCTAAAATCACTGAACAAGAATGCACTGCTATTTCAAATGGAAGCAGTTTTAAATTAAATTTATAAAGTTTTTTAAACTGGGGTTTCTAGCAAATGGATGCAAAAAAAAAAAAAAAAAAAATAGAGGTCGGTTTTGCCTCATCCTCCCCTATTATTTAATTAAATGTTTTTTTTTAAGTAATGTTATATAGCTTGGAATAACAGCTAAATAATCTAAGTTGTAGACCTGGCATTTTTGTGATATCCTGATTTTATGCGGATGGACACTTGTAAATTACAACAACGATTCTAATGAACACTTTTGCCTTACTTTTTCGTTGTTGTTTTTACTTTTGCGTACGCCTGTCCCTCCCCTTTCCAGGCCATATTTTTTTATTTTCTGATTTTGTTGCCCTTCGACAGCAACAACATAAACAACAAACAAAACAGACCAGGCAAACGCAAAAAAAAAAAAAACAAATAAAAGCGGCTATTCTTTTTGTTTGTTTTTTCGCCCTTTTTGTTTTGCTCGTTTTGTTCGTTGCGTTTTTTTTAACTCTTTCGCGAATTTGCTCTTTAACTCTTTTAATTTTCTCTTGAGATGCATTTGCACTGCAGGCGAAAGAGAAAGCGCAAATTCTGATTGGAGATGTTGCCAAAGTATTCCTTTGGCAACATGTTTCTAAAAACAAATGTTGCCAGTTGAATTTTTCAGGACAAATTGAAAAATAAAAAAAAATGAAGGTGCTAATTACAGAACAATACCGAGATTTATTTCCTCCACAGAAAATGCTGTCAATGTTTTTGATAATTTGCAACACAAATTAATCCACTCGTTTTGCATTACTTCACCTTTTCGACTTTTTTTTTTATTATTTTTATGTTATTTAAAGTTATATTTGAAATGAAATATAATACATTTTGAATGCTTGTTAAGAATTTCTTCCTAAATTAAACAAATATCTAAATACTTTAGATCTAGCAAGGCAGTATTTTCTAATGTATAAAAAAATCCTTTTAAGCGATTTAAACTTAGTTTATTTTTTAAGGCATTTTCGGTATAAATAGTTTGGGTTCTTTTTGATTTAAATTTCTTCTTATTTTTTGTTCCGTTTTTTTTTTTAAAGAAGATATATTCAAAAAATAACTCTAAGATGGGATTAAACATGAAACCATTCGATTCAGGCCAATCCTACACATTAAATAAATTTATACAGAATGCCTTAAAACTCCTCAAGAAGATAATTTACCTATTTAGCAGTTATATAAGGTTTTACACACAAAAGCTGCCATAGACAATTGTTAACCCACCCTCGAAATGTAAAGCAAGAAAAACCCCTAGAAAACAACGCCATGTTTTTTGAACTATGGCAGGAACTCAGTCATCGGCCATTAAAACGACGTTTATTAATGGAAGTGCATCGGAAGTGCATTAAACAAATATAAGTACCTAATAACACTACCTAAAATTATTTAACTTTAAAAACATTAATGTATAAGCCTGTGAACCACATTTTTAATAAGCGAAAAGTTTAACATTAAATAATAAAAAAAAAACACCTCGTTTGAGTGAATCAAGACTTGTAACGTACGCTATTTATGGCTTATTTAAAACTTTCCAAATGTATATTTTCTTAAAACTATTACAACTAATAACAGAAGGCATTTTAAATTGTAAATGTTTTTGTCATAATATATTCGGCTTTATCTTAATTTTCTAAACGACTGGTATATGATTTGCTTATTATTTTATAAATGTAAAAAAACTTATATTTTATTAAATATGAAAACACTCTTCTATATTTCAAAAATGTGCAAATACATATATCCATAAATTGTTGTTAGATTTTTGTGCTTTGCTGTTTTTCTATCAGTTGATAACTGTAAATACGCTTAAGTATATTTTTTGAGGCGAAACTTTGAAACTTTCTTCTATTTGAAGTCGAAAAACCTTGAGAAAGTCTTCTCCTTTTTGTCCCCTTTTGTATCCTTTGCCCCTTCCTCCCCCTCTCTGCCGCAGATCAGCTGTAGCTGTAAAAACTTGGCCATAAACAAACATAAAAATAAAAGAATAAAAACAGCTGCAACTCAAGAGCGAATAAAGGTCGCCACCCCCGCCCACCCTTTTCACTAGCCCCTTTACTGCTCTCTTTCCCCTCTCTCTCTTGTTGCCCCTCTCTCCCACCCACACACAAAGCAGCGCAGTTGCAGCGGAAAAGGCAGAGGCAGGTTGCTCCATCTCTTTCTAGCTTGTGGGCTGGACTTACAAACGTTGTTGTTGTTTTGCCCAGCCTAAAAACGGAGATCGCACATGTGTGTGTTTGTAATGCATATGGCTGCCTTGTTGTTGCCCTTTTTCCAGTTGTTGTTGCTGTGTTGCTGCTGTTTGTTTTTATCTCACACTCTCGCACACACACATGCGGCCTATGCAATCGAGCGAATACGAATGATAAACAGCATGTGTGTGTGCAAGCGAGAGGTTGTAGCTTTTTTTTGTTTTTTTTTTGGTTTTCTGCCTTTTGCCTTGTGGTTTTTGTTGTTTCTTGTTGTTGCTCTTTTCGGTTTCTTGTGCGTCCATTGGGCATTGCATTCTTGGTGTGTGTGTGTGTGGGTGAGAGTGCAGGCGTATAAATGTGTGTTTGGACAGCCTCTCTTTTTAAAAACGCATAAATGTTGATTACACCAAATTGACAATTTGTTGTTGTATCTATCTAAATTTTTGGTGTTCTTTCTTTCCTTCTGAAATTCCTCACCCAGTCTTAATGGAATTTTGTTAAATACACAAATTGTTAGTATTTTGGGATAGCTAAAATAATTACCTTTATTAACACCACACTTTTAAGTTAATTGTATTTATAGTTTGCAAGTACTAGTATACGTATTATTTATCCTTGTTATTAATTTTACACACATTAAAATAAATAATTTTACTTGTTTTGATATATGTAATTTCGTTCCGATTTGGTGTGGACTCCCAGGCTTTTCGTTTTAATATGATCGAATGCCAGTGCAAAACCCGGCGAATAGGTTCGAAGTAATGCAGTTCGAATTTCGATTATGTCTCTTCTTATCTAGGGTACCATTTTTCTCTCTTTTTTGACTTCGGAGAATATCCGTTATTTGTATGTCAATTTCACAGTATTTAATGTAAAATAAAATGATGCTGAAATTGTATCTTCTGTACAGAAGTAAAGTTCGAATTGGCAAAACATGTTTTTAAATAAATACTCAAAAATTCAGCGAATTTATTTTGTACAGCAAGTGGTGAGCTTCAGTTAAAATCTAATTACGAGTGATAATGGTTTTAAATCATTTAAAGCTGGAAATTTATTTTTATTTTCATTTCTCGCGAGCTCGCGGGAGCATATAAACCACTTTAAATAATACTTGCAATATTAAATCTTTTTAAGAATGAACTTGGACCCTTTACGAGATATTAAGAAACTTATAAGACGTTTAATAACTAAATGAACGGCACTCAGCCCTTTAGCACACAAATAAACTTAAAAACTTAAGCGACAGTCAAATTTCAATCCAATTGGATTATTTCCCGCCAAATTTCAAGCCAAGTATGGTCCAAGAAAAAGACTGAATGGTGCAAAACTTGGGTATGCAGCGTGTCGACCAGCTGATTGCTACGAAATCCGGGCGCATTTGACAGCCGCTAAGCGCTAGGGCTGTCGAGGCAAATTTGTATTTACTTATGCAAAGAATAAATATGCCTTGCTGAAAATAAAGGAAGATCAAAAAGCAAAAGATTAATTTTCAAAAATCAAAGGAAATGTTTTAGATTTAATAAATTTACAGATTTAAGCAGTGAAAACGGCATTGATAAATCGGGTACACCAACTACCGTACCTCTGGCAACTCTGCCACTCTGTCATTGCCGCTCACACGGACGCCACACAGACGCCGTTGGTCACACACACGCGCACACACACTAGCGAACGGCTACATTTTTTTTCGAGTGTGTTCGACATTCATAATTTTTGTGGTGTAGCTGCCTGCAAAAATCCAAAATTTCAAGTAGCCAACAAATTATTGGCCGTAACTACAAAAAAAAAATTATCAGTAACTTGGCGCCGTTTCGCTGTGAGTTCGTGTTTATGCAAAAGTTTTATATTATACAGAACAATCGATGTTTTTGTCCAAAAATGTCGAAGAAAAGAGCGACAAGACCGAAAAAACAACAACAAAATGCAAGAGGAGCAAAAGAAGAAGAAGAATCGGAAAAAATTTAATATAAAATCGAAAAAGAACCAGAAAAATCCAATAGATTATAAAGTTAAAATTGATAAAAGTAATGTGGGAGTGCTTGTGTATGTGTTTGTGTGCGAAAAACAAGAATTGTGGCATTGCTTCAAGTTTTTCTCCGTTTTCTTTTTGTTTAATTAAATTTGCCGAAAACGCGGCGTTTTTCTTTTTTTTTGGCTTGCCCTCTTTGTCTTGCCCATTCGCATATTCTCTTTTTGCCTTTGTCTTTTTCGTGCGCGTTGTCTGCGTTTTGTCTGTGTGGGTGCGTGAGTGTTTCTGTGTGTGCGTGAGCAAAATTTCCGACAGCAGAAAAAAAAAGAAAATCTTATTAGGTTTTTTTTTATACTTAAATTGCCAACATTATTGATTTTTCAAGTGCGTGGGATAGTATTCCCCCCATTTCGCCCCATTTTCCGCTCTGCTTCTTCTTCATCTGCAGACTACGTGCATTTGTCACCCAAAAGGGAAATCAATAAATTTTAATACAACAAAAGCCGCACACTTGGAAAAATGTTATGATTAAATTAATACAATTACGCATTAAAGCTCGGTATATGTTCTTTTGTTTTCTTTGGGGTTTTGTTGTAGTTGTTTTTTTTTCGCTTTTATTGTTATAAAGAAATATCTATCTTCCAATTTTAGTTTCCGTGCTATTGTTTGTTTGTCCTGGCTGTCTCTATTTGACTTGTTTTTCCTGTATATCTAGGAAATGTCAACAGTTAAGGGAGCCGCAAGGTCATGATAAATGGGGTGGGAAATGCGGTAGCTTACACACAAAGAAAATCATTTAAAAAATATTATTTTATCTGAAACTGTTTTTATACCATTTACCTTTAAGGTTACATTGTTAAAGACTTCATTTTTGCGTCCCAAAAAGAACTAATATTTAAAATAGATACTTGTTGCCAAGACAAGTTTCTTCATAGTCTATCTAATTATGTAATCGATTTAACATTAAAACATAATCAAACTAAATAACAGATTTGAAATTCTTTTTGATCCACTAGGAAAATGATTATGGTTTTCTTTTATATCTATGAAATGCACTTTACCGAGGTACACAAACAAATAATTTTTCAAAAAGTAAGATCAGTTTAACTGTGTTAGAAACACATACATATTTGTGGCATGCAAAATTCTGTAGCAAAACATACTTGAGGAAAGTGAAAGCCACGAATCAAACCTTAATCCATCAACTAGCTAACCAAACACACACAACCTTGAGCAAGGAAACAAAAAAGAATTTATTTTGATTTTAAACTCGGTTTCCTTAAACAAAAAGTAAATTAATTAAAATCAGCCATTTATTTCAGGCGAAGTAATTTTTAAATGCACTTCCGATACCCAACTAATCTTTTAAACTAAAATGGACTTTAAATAAAAAAATTAATTATAATTTCGCTCGTTTTATTGCATTTTTCTGACTCTTAACTCCTCTTGATTTTTGCATCTCGTTTTCAGCTTAACACTTAGTACACCCGAACAGAAAGTTGCCGCACCTGGAAAATGTCGAGCCTGCCACGTCGCATCATCAAGGAGACGCAGCGTCTGATGCAGGAGCCTGTGCCGGGAATCAATGCCATTCCCGATGAGAACAATGCACGATACTTCCATGTGATCGTGACCGGACCGAACGATTCGCCCTTCGAGGGCGGTGTATTTAAGCTGGAATTGTTCCTACCGGAGGATTATCCGATGTCGGCGCCCAAGGTGCGTTTCATCACGAAGATCTATCATCCGAACATCGATCGCTTGGGCCGCATCTGCCTGGACGTGCTCAAGGACAAGTGGAGTCCGGCGCTGCAGATCCGAACCATATTGCTATCGATCCAGGCCCTTCTCAGTGCACCCAATCCCGACGATCCTTTGGCCAACGATGTCGCCGAATTGTGGAAGGTCAACGAGGCGGAGGCCATTCGCAATGCCCGCGAATGGACCCAGAAATATGCCGTCGAAGACTGAACGCCCGAGGTCAGGAGGTGGGTCAGGAAGCGGATCCGGCAGTTGTATCGGCGATTTTCCAGAAAGTGGGTGCGTGACATGGGCGGGCGGGTGGTGAAATTGCGTACTTTAAAACCAACCAGAAAAAACCTAAAGCATACGAAAGAAAACAATATACATTAAGCAGAAAGATCGAAAGAAAGAAAAAAAAATTATTAAAAAACAATACTTTTTTTTTTCTAACCTTCTGGGGCGGGATATACATAATATACATATATATATATATTTTTTTCAACCAATCGATCGGGGCGATCGGCAAAGGAGGAAAGATAACGAAAGCATTCTTTATGTAAGTCATATACAATACATGTATCCGAAAAAAAAAAACAAAAACAAAAAGTGAGCACACAGTAATTGGCTTTAATCATTTCTATTGATTTGTTCGAGGGGTCTGGTGTCTATATGCATACAGCCGTATATATTTGTATGTGTAACTGAAATAACCAACCCATAAACATTAACATCGGATAATTAATCAATTGGAATGGAAACTAGAAAGGGGTTTTGATTTTTCCTTAGCTTTACTCTGAAAACTCTGGTTGATCTTCTATTCAGAATAGAGTGCTTTGATTGTATAATTTTCAATGTTGAAATAAATTTTAGATGTGATCGTCAACTTTGTAAAATTTGTATTTTTCTTAATTAGCAGAGAGTTTACCATTTCGATTGATACTTGAGCTTTGCCTGGGTTGTGTCAAAGTCCCTTTGACAAACGAAAGCTGGTTTTACTCGAAAACAATTTTTTTTTAACCAAACAATGAAGCCTTTAAGCTATTAGTAATTTTTGAAAAAACATAAAAATATGATAAAAAAAAAAAATAAATAAAAAAAAGTGCATACACTATATATATTTATACAAAACATAAAAGTAGTGGCTTGATTGCGTGAACTTTTCAAGAGCAGTTCTCAACAACACTTTGTGTAAAGTAATTAACTTGTTTTCACCCAAAATCACTCAAGGAAAATCCGAATAACAATAGCAACAGAAAAGCAAACATAAATCAAAGAATAAACATGAATGCAAAATCAAGAAAATATCAAATTCTTTTTTTTTTATTTAAATTATTTTTTTTTTCTAAGAAAAAATAAATAAAAAAATAAAGTAAATAAAAATAATAAAAAAATAACATATATGTTTTATTTAAATTGGGATTCTTAAATCACATGGGATGGGTTATTTCTACTTCTTATATTAAAAAAAGCTTTTAACATTTAAATTTAACAATAGTTACCTTATTTCGATTTTATTGTTTTTACGTATTTGTAATCAAACTTAAGCAATTGTGTTATTTCAATGTATTAAATTTATGCTTTTTGAACATGAAGGATAGTTATGCGACCTGCCATTTGCTAAAATAACTTTAGATTTGAAAACAATACAAATTAAACCATTTTTTAAAGCTGTCCGAATATAAATACCCAAATTATGTTTACTTGTCATGGACTGCAGTTGTCAATCATTTCGTTTTGGGGCTTTGGAATTGGATTTTTCTCCGTTGGCAGGCCTCCCACTAATTCCGGCTTAACCCTTCGCTGCCCCCTGTCCACTGGGGAGGCCCCTATGGATACGGCATTAGGAAAAACTGCCGTTCAGCTCTTCTCTATTTTTCATGGTCTTATCCTGTGAGTGAGTGTGTGCTGCTGCTGCTACTGCTGATGCTGGCCACTCCCCCCGAAAAAAAGCGAACCAGGACCTTTTTCCCGCCTCTGATTGGGTGCTCTTCGCTCGCATATAAACGTATATATCTGGTTCTGGCGATTTCGAGGCCCCTGACCAACAAATGTCGAACCTAAAGGAATTTTTTCCCTCTGGTTTTATATTATAGCTTCTGCTTTTTTTTTTTTTTTTATTATTTTTATCATTTTTTTTTTTTGCTGCCGATGTTGTGTGCCCCGTTTTTTAGTTTGTGTCGATTTTATTTTTCCGGTAAATGGGGTGGCAGTGGGTGGTTTTCCCGGGATGGAGAAAAACGCATATGCAAAATGCGATGTTTGAGTGTTTGTGTGCTCGAGAATTTTTATCGGCAGCTTCATTGTGTGTTGTGGGCCAGACAAAAAGATGGAAAAATAGGTGGTAAACGGGAGAAAAAGCTGTGTAAGTGGACTGGTGGTCAGGCCATAATTAAATATTATAATATAATATTTAAATAATAGCCATAGTTATTAATCGTTACAAGTGGCTTCTCTACCAACTATCAACTGTCTCTTTCTCATTGCCATTCCCTTCTCTTTCCAACGAGCTATCCCAAAGGGGCATTTATCGTTACCTGAATAAATAGTTTTCCATATTTTTTACGAAAAATTCTTAATTCTTTGAGTTTATTTTTGTAGTAATTGGATCCAATAAATTTTTTTTAACGATTACAGTGACTTCTTAAATAAAACAACTTTATTTTAAATAAATGAAAACAAACAAAATTTGGAAACGTAATTTTAGTGCAGTATTTATTTATTTGATAAGTTAAACTGTTAAGATTTTAAATTTTTATAAGATTTTCATTTCCTATTATTGTATCCATATTTCATTCAGTAAAAAATCGTTTTGTAAATAAATAAATAACTAATCAGTTTCGACCTTAAATATTTGCCCATTAAGTCTTTATGTGTTCTAATTTTTAAGTATTTTTTGTATTTATTTACCGAATAGCTAGCTCGATCACAACACACATCACTTAATGATCCGTAAAAAACAACAGTTCTTATGAAATTGTGGAACAAGTTTTACCAACTTAGTAACGTCTTAATTAACCCAATTACTAAGTACTGAAAATTCCTTCAACTCAAAACAGTGTTGTGCGATTGTAGTGTTACTTTGGTACAGTCCATCCCAGAGGACTTTTAAGTGCACCTTGTGCTGCAGATCGCCTTCTCGCTTGCACGCCAAATGCGCCATTTTTGTTTGAAAGCTAATCGAAAAAGGGCGTACAGCCTAGCTCCGAAAAATACCCGCACACACACGTCGTATACGTAATGTAATGCAATGTCCAGAAGTACAGTCAACACCCAAAAAGACCAAAGCGCACAAACACCCACCCACAGAGCTTGAGAGAGAGAGTGAGATAGATAGAGAATAGAGAAGAAGTGTGTGAGTGGGAGTGAGAGGGAGCTGCCACTCGCATCGCATTCAGCAAAACATCATCAAAATTGTAAAAATAAACAAAAGCCAACATGCATAAAACCAATTTCCATTAAGGCCAACACACACGACGCACACACGCACATGCAACTCTGTGTGTGCACTAGTGCTATCCCACTCGGCCACGCTTTTCCTCTCTCTTTCTGCTTCCCTTTTTGGCCTGTCCATTGCAGCATTGAACAAAGTTTCGGGCTTAGATGGTGTTTTTTTTTTATTTTTTGTTATTTTTTTTTTTTTTTTTTTTTGGTGTGGGAGGGAGAGAGTGGTGTAACTGGACTTTGGTCTCTGGGTCTGCCTACGGCCACCGAAAAATCCTTAAAAATAAAAGATAGACGGGGAAGGATAAACGAGCGGGGGGCTTGTGAGTGAGCTGTATCCTTAATTGATATCGCAGCAAGGAATTTCTCTGCCACCCACTCAGGAATAAAAGGGAAAAATCCAAAAAGGAAAGACCCGGCTTCGGACAGGATGAGCTCTGTGCGCCATGTCCAGTGATGGAAAGTATCTTGTAAGTTGTACCAAAGTGTAGATTAGTTAACCAAAAGAGTACCTAAATTTTAGGTACGCGTTTTGAAAATTGTCTAAAGGTAAAGTATTGAAAGTTTCCTAAATTTCAGTAAAAAATTGCATGTCTTCTTTAAAATTGTTTAAATACTCAATATATAAAACTATTTCGAAATTTCTGATTTAGGTCACAGTTAATTTAAAAAAAGAAGTTATTTTTCTGCAATTTTTTTGTTTTCAAAAAGTACTTTTTGATGTCATTTTGCAATCTGAATTATTTAAGTAAACCAGTTTGAATAAAGAAAATATAAAAATCATTATTATTAAAATATTATTTGCACTTTACAAAGGTCGTAGGATTTTTACCTTTCCCATCACTGGCTATTCCTATCTCTTTGGGTTTTTAGTCATGGGTACAGAGGTGGTGGACTTAAACACACACGCATGCAATGGATGGGAATGGGTGGTGTTTTTGGGGGGCTTGGGTGGCACTGCAAACGCAACGAGGATACTGCATGCGATAGGTCGGAAATTTTCTGCCGAGCTCGCAATCAACTCTTTGGACTAGAACTAGGAGATATAACCCCACCAACCCAACCTTCTCCTTAACTTTTCGTGGCGGCGCACCTGCAACACGAATGTGCAAGGGGGGGCTGCAAAATGACGAAGGGGGGGTTGGTGGAATGTTCTGAGGGTTGTGTGCAGGACGCAGTAAAATGGCGGCATCCCAGGCCTTTGGGCTTGGCCAAAGTCCATGTGTGCTTGTGTGCGTGTCTCGAAACCCCTAACCCCCCGCCCCACCCCATCGAAACCCCCTGCATCAACCGCCACTCCTGCCTTTGTGTCTGTGTGCGTTTCCATTTTGCCATCCATTTTGCCACCCACACGCCACCCCCCAATGCTCCTTTTTGTTTTGGCTCGCTTTGGTAGGCACCACCTACTCGGTAGACCCCTTAACCCACCACCCCAACCCCCCTAAAGACCCACCCATGGCCCGAAAAGCGAGGCGAAACTGAAGTTCATGCAACTTAGGTCTAGGGATGTCTGTCTCTCTTCGAGTGTGTGTGTGTGTTTCGGGTGGGTGTTTCGGTGCGTTGCATGTCTGCCCACATACACACATTTAATACATATAAGTATGGACATATAGATAGTTGTACAGTGCGTCCTCTTTGAATATATACCTTTAAATAGTAATAAAACTAATTTATTTGATAAAAATCTTTGACCCAAAATCACCAAACAGGTTTGTTTGACAATATAGGTTATAATATAAATAGTAAGGTCTATATTTATATAATACAAAATCAAATTAACAAAATAATGGTAATAGTTGTACAATAATTATGAGCCATATGATATGGAATAATAAATAACAGAGTCGATCTTTCAATATACATTATGTACGTTTACAGGAAATTCGAGATTATGAGAATTATCAGAAACCTAGGGAAATTCCAATTAAATGGTGAGAGTGGAAAGAGGTCTTTGCCTGTCACAACTGTCTTGCACTGTAGGCATGTACAGGAGGTTGTATTTACTGATATGTGCGCACATAGTCAATGAATGGCCGCAATGCCCTGTCCTGTCCATCTTCTCATGTTTGTTTCCCCTGATGGCAGCCTATGGAAAGTTTTGCGGGAATTAAGTTAACAAAACACACTTGAGTGTTTATATAAAATCCAAATATCCATCAGCATTGGAATCTGGTAATGTTTGAGCTTGGCAACTTTACATTAATTAGAACTTTACCTACCCATTTTAGTTTTGGTTTTTATGTTAATTGCCCTACGTTCATAACTCAAACTTTTTGTTTTCCAAAATATGCCGATTTCACTCGAATGATATTTTAAAATCGTTTCGAAGTATCTTACTATCTCACTATTTTTAATTTTTTAACCTAAAGGACTTTGAAACATTAGCTCACGCTAGTAATATTTATTAGTAATAGTATTTAATATTTTAGAATTCCAAGTCCGGTTTTTTGTT